AGAGGGCCCACATTCTCCCTGACATGATATTGCATCAGCTGTTTCCTAGCTTTTGGAGTTTAGTTTTTCAAAATGAATGTTATCGTAACATGGTTGCTGGGAGGGGTAGAGTAGGGAAGTCTAATTTTTTTAGGTATAAGAAAATGGGGAGGAAAAACCCTCCAACTTCCCACTGCATGAGACGATGCTGACATTGTCATGAACCACCAAGAGGGCTGGACCTTTAAAAGCCATGACACAGTCTCTTCTCCTTTATCCTCAATGTTGCCTACATCATACTGAGGAATAAAGTACAGTCTGTCTCAGAGTCTCAGAAATTTTGCATGGTATTAAAGATTTCATAGAGAATATGCTCTCCTGGGTACAAATTCTCCTGCCTATTTGCACCGAGTACAGTTCTTTTGTACTATATCTCATTTTCCCAACCTTCCATCATTATTTAGCCAGGTTCAAATTCCACGCCTCTTATCCAGGCAGCTTCCACTATTTTTTTTCCACATGTTGAGTCTGTTTTGCCCATGATGGTAACACTGGTGAGTGATCTCTGCCTGTCCTTGTCTTGACCCGTGAGCCTTTCGTTGCGTTTTCTCTCCCTTGCGCAGCTGAAGAGGGGAGTGATAGAGCAGCTTTGGTGGCCCAGCCAAGGTTATTAGTGTTGTTGCTGCCTGCTCAAATGACCAGACCTAGAAGAGGCTGTGGCAATGGAGACAATGGAAAGGTCTTCCTCCCTCTCCAGGACAGGGTATAATCAGTGCAGGTGGAATCTGTGGGAAGTTTCGTTGCTAAATTTCTCTACAAACAGACAATGCATTAACCTTTAGCCAATTCAGATAGATTTAAACAGGGACACCAAAACCATCTGTTAGAAGGACCAAATCTTTTAATTAAAAAATAGTAGTGTTAAAAACAAATAAACCAAACAGATTTCTATATTTTGCTCTTGAAAACAGTGAGCTATTATGGCTGAGAGTTTCTTCCAAAAAGACACAAAACCAAAAAAAAAAAAAAAAATCTCAGACTCAATCAAAGTTCAGCTAAAAGATTTAAAAGGCTTTACAAAATCATGAAAAATTGATACAAGAATCTATTTACTAGGATGCATAAAACAAGTTAGTAACAGACTGCACCAGTGTAATCTACAGGACAGGAGGCAGGAAAATTATTTTATTGTGGAAGAATGGAGCAATTTATCAGAAATGTCTCGAGTCTGCTTTTCATACCTGAACACACAGTACCTTTGGGGGAAAAATATTCTCTGTCATGAAATACTAAATAATTAAATTCTTCAAATGCCATATCCACTTATTTTATATCCTTTAATAAAATTATGGGGTTTGTTTTCTAATCTTTGTGCACCAAGTACTTTAGAATATTTATTAATGACTTTTTACATATACTAAAAACTCAAAATGCAGCATACAAGTTTTTATGCCCCAGTTGACTACTCATTGTTATTTCGGATAGTCCTAAGAAAATACTTTTCCTTATTGCACATACAACTCTTTTCCCAAATCTAGTCCCATAAGTGCACTGTATTATCTGTATTATTAAGATAATTCCTAATACAGGATGTCATAAAATCTGAAGTATAGAAGCACCAGGAATTCTCTGCCCTTCAATGATTTTCAGGCTAGACAGCCACATTTACGCTGACCATTGTAACAGAGATGCCAGCCTTCTGAAAGTTTTATAACACGAGTTTTTATGCATACAGTCGCAAAAGAAACCTCTGATGAAAACCACCCTGGATTACGTAATTTATGGTGTCAAGATATTATTATACAAACACTCCCTGAAAGGAGTGCTCTTTGACATCAAACAGAAGGCTGGTAATAGGAGCCAAAATTAAACTGACCCAGTACCAGTGAGCTTAATGGCTACACAATCTTTCACTTGCCATAACTTAATTATTATTTTCAATGTGCTGCTGCACATGGTGTTACAGAACGCTTTCACGCAAGAAGCTCAATTTGCATGGAAATTCTACATTCTTGCTCTGAAAATGCACAGACAATGGAGACGAAAGAAAAGCTACAGGACACTTGAAGCAACCACAGCAAAGGGAAACAAAAACATTGGCACAATATTAAGCTGTACAAACAAAAATGAAGTTAGACCAATGCAGCCAAAAAGTAAAAGCATCTTAGGAGGCATTTTTGAGCACGATTGGTCAGACATACCATAGCATTTTGTTTGTATCCATACCATCTATACCCACCACTGAAGTAACTCACCGATATACTCTGTGTTGGCCCAAATATAAAAGCACAAGTGAATACACATGCAACACAGAAAATTAAATGTGGTTGGCAATAGCCTCTCAGTTTGCCAGGGAACTTACTGGCTTGGATGGATGACTCAATAAAACTTCAGGATGCTAAAGGGAAAAAGAAGATAGGAAAAGATGGGGAAAATTTGGGATAGGAACAGTGTGAGAGAGAAAAAGAAAAGATGTAACAATAAAAGAATTTAAAATAATAGCTGCAACATTAAGTTACCAAGACGGCAGAATCTTAAGTTGTGTTTTAGCATGTATTATTATCCAGCTTTTGAAACATGAAAAACAGAGAGTTACCCTTGTGCAAGTTCCAAACCTGATCTTGATTTCTCAGTCTACCAGTTTTGTACAGTCCTCAAATACTTAACACTTAAGAGTCCTGTGTTGGGGTTTACAGATGACAGTTTTACAAGTTGAGCAGGAATTTAATTTCTAGTGTTTCACTAGTATCAATTACAAGACAGCAAAATGGTTTAGAAAACTAATTCAGTAACTGACACCAACTGAATGCTGAACACAACTGCTGAGGTTTTACTTTTATTTTTACAAGACAGCTTGATTTCCCTCGTAGGCCTTTTTATTTCTAGGTTGCGATGCTGAATACATCAGTTATCATCCCTTCTTTGAAAAAATGAGTCATCAGCTGACAACAAAAAATAGTATTTCTATCTCATCTACCAATATGATCAGTCATATTTTCAGTTAGGGCAGAAAATCCATGCTCACAAAAATAAAAAGCACTAGAGCCTGTATTAGACTAAATGAGCTAAATCTTGGGTTAACACTTCGTCCAGTCATTTTTCCTCTCTTTTCAAAGATCCTCCTGAACTTGAAGGAAGAACACCACAGCAGGAAAAAAAACATCCTCTGAGTGAGCCTGTTGAATCTGGAGGTATTTTCCTGGCAGGAAATCACTGCTAACATTCTCTGATGAAAAGTTCCTAGAACTACACCAAGGGGAAGTTTGTTAACATATGGTTTTGGACTCTCTCCTTTCTCTAATCTTGATCCCTTTCAAATAAGGAAAACATCTATAGGGAGAAAAACTATGCACTGCAAATGAAGACAGACAAAAATTCGCTCATCTCTGCTGAAGCAAATTCTAATATTAGTTGGTCTCTCCAAGATCAGAAAAAGCACAATGAAACAAAGCGTATTGGCTGGAAATACAAGACAGAAAAAGCTGGGAAAAGAGTATCCTGAAAGGAAAAAAAAACCCCAAAACCCAACTAGAAGAAAAACTTTTCACTATAAAACTATTACATTAAATGAGAATTTTAAAAAAAAAAGTTTCCTAAGGAAAACAAGAAAGAAAAAACCCGAAACAACACCACGCTGCATAAAACCACTTCACAGAAAAACAGAGAGAGAAGCCCCTGTGTGTGATTTCCCCCTCATGATTCCATCTCAGCAGAAAAAGGAGACTATTTAAGGCAGGACAGCAGGCCATGTAAGCTCAACAGGGATTTATGGCTTGCTTTCAGCACTCAGAACCTCCCATAGTATCTCCTGCTGGCAGCAGGCTGACAGTTGAGCACAGAAGCAATGGCAGTGGAATAATTAGATCATTAAGCACACAGATTTGCATAACCACAGTATCATTATTACAAAACCCCAAACATGACAAACACTGCAGTTTCATTCACTAATACAAGGATGTATCTGAAACAGTCATTAGTAAGAAGAGGAATAAGGACATTGAGAACTGGACACCTAGACAGACTGCTTACTTGGAAAGAAAAATACTATCAGCAACTTTTCAGCACCCCTGCACTTCACTTGGTTCACACGACTTCATTTTAGTGTAAAGTAAAATACCTTTTACAGAAAAAGTGGAAGCTTGCACTGTTTATGATTTCGCCAAGGCTCACTGTTTAGAGATGAGCAAAATTTTTTTCCAAGGACTGCCCCTACCTTTTTAATCTAATAGCTTTACAGTTCAGCCTCTTCTCTCAGCTTCTTAACTTCTAAGGCTAATAGTTTTAACTGAAAGTACTCAGCGGACATAAGACGCACGGGAAACAAGACTGATGTTAGACATGTTTCTGTTCAAACTGCAAGGGAAACAACCTAAAGGGAAAAGCATTTTGCCATTTGCTGTTAAGAGCTACTCAAGAGAGTCCTTCCTGCATGCGTCTTACGCAAAACACTACGATAACATAGTAAAAGTCAACATAATAAACCTCTAATTCAGTTTTACACTGAATGCTCTTATGTAGCCGTTCTTTTTAAGGTTAATTGTGACAGTTATTTGCAATGGTTAACAGCGCAAAACTGAGTTTTTAGAAGCTTTACATTGGATCTAGGTTATCTATCAAAATTGTTTCAAGGATGACAAGAAACTAATCCACACTGAAAATGTCAAACTGCCTGAATATATATATCTGCGATGCATTTAAAGAGAGAAAGCCCTCTAAAAATATTTTTTTCTACCTTTGTGCAAGTGACAAAAGAACACTGGCAAATTAAGAACAGCTGGAAAGAAAGGTTATTAGAGAAAAATCCAAACTTGTAAGTATGAAACATATTGCTCAAGTGACTGCTAACTATATTTTCTTGAATAATGAAGAGTAACCGTGACTTGACTCGAGAAAGCAAGGAAAACCAGTGGTAGAAGCGGGCTCTTTCGTACAGCAAAAGGAAAGCAAACGCACAGTTAATTACATGGAAGCATACCTGGGGCCTAGAGCTTCGATTCCTTTATAAAAAGCCATTGTGGACTGGGTTTTTATCGCCAAAACAATCTTTCTACTGAATTTGAATTTTCCCTTGAATAAGAAGAATGAAGTAGCCCAACATGACACAGTATTCAGAAATGGAAATAAGTATTGATGGTTTTATCTCAGCAGGATTTGAGAGAGTCCTTTAGGGTCTCTGCACAAGAAACAATTGTCCAAATGCCCTAGCAAGCAACAATGCCTGAAGCAGAGGAGCAGATACCCAGAGTATTACAGAAGGGCTTTATACTGCACATAGGTAATGGTAGGCTATCAATTCTCTTTGCCTGTAGAACTGAAACCATCCTGACTGAATGAGGTTACGTAGCTTCTTTGGATAGGAAGATGGAAAAGTATTTGTCTTTACAATACAATGAATTTATAGTCATTATTTTTCTCAGAACTAAATTAAGAACCCAGTTATTTTTCCCATAGCTATCCTGTACAGCTAATAGCGCTCTTCTCATTTGCGCTGTTTTCCCATTTTAAACTTCAGGAAAAAGCTCACAGGACAGTAACTCAACCTCTTAATTATTTCCTGAAAAAAAAGATTATGAAAATATATGCTCTTGAGAACTGGCTCAGTATCGTTATGTAATGTTCCTGGATGCCAGATATTAAGCACAACCCTCTCTAAAACGGCATGAGCAGAGGTCGGCCTAAAGGAATCGTAACAAAGAGCTGTCATCACAGTGCAAATTAACTGCATGTTCACCTTCTAGCTCGCAGCGCTTCGCCAGATTGGGTCGACCTCCTTGCCCACTTATACTACTGATATATACACTCCCCGCTAACAGCGGGGAAAGCCATCTCGGGGGAAGCAGTGAAAAGCAGTACATTTACAAATGCGAAATATACAGACACATTCCCTAAATAATTCTATTTCCACAACTGGTTTTTCATAACCCAACTATTTGTTACGTGCTCTCCCAGTTTCTACTTTTTTTGTTTGTTTGTTTTTTAAGTAATTGTAACAAAGTTCTCCACTGCAGCTGTCCACCTACAAACCAATACTGTCACCCAGCTGCTGCAACAATTTCTGGCAAATCTTAGTGACAGTATATGCCTCAACTCATTACCAGTAACACACTGACAAAGGGTGAAACTGCAATTCATGACAGAATTCAAATGCAAGGGTCCTTCAGAACTTCTGAAATACTCACCCACTGTATGGGACACTGAAAACAGCCTGTGAGACTGACTAAATGTGCACAACCACCTTTTCTTGCTATTGCGCTTTGATTCTGCTGAATAACAGAACTGTTTCTTTTGTGCAATAGAATTAAAAAGAAGGGCAAACATGGATCTTGATATGTGTAAATGAAATTTCACTTATACAGAATTCTCAGGTGCATTAACACTCATACAACACAAATCCTAAACAAGTTTGATGACTCAAAACTTGATCTCACATTCATTTGAGGAAGTAGTTCCAAACTACAGCGTGGGCACTCCTCCTTTTCCTGGGTAGATGTAAAAAATCAGCTAGAACTCCACAACCCAAGACTTAAATTTCTTTTCAAAAATGTGTTGCCTTTTGTCTTGTTCCAATTTTAAAAACAGAAGTGCTGTCACTATTTCAGTTAGTGTGTTTTGTGCTTCTTCATCACTTGCTCTTTTAAAATCAAAAGTTAAAATGAAATCAAAGTTCCTCTAAACAGTTCAGCATTTATGCTACCCACAGCTAAAATAAAGCAAGCTTGCAATGCAAACATAATCCAAAGATTCTGCTCAAATGAATCAGCTTGCTTTTAAGACAGTATTATTGTTCTGAACAGCAATCTCTGACCAGTGTTTCAGCTGTGATTGGCATTCAGATTAAAACAAAACATCACACACTTCACTGATAATATGTTCTTGTCATTTGTTCTTATGCATTCCTATGGGCCAGGCCAATCATGCATCTGAATTCATTGCACTAACACCTACATGCATGGACAATTGGTATGTGAAATGTTTAGCTGTTAAATTTTCAGCTGTTACGCCAGTTTAATGGTGCAATTACTGCTGCAAACTTTTTAAAATCTTTAATTCCTAGAACCTGTTTAAAAAAAAAAAAGTCAACAGCACAGTTAGTTGCATACGAATCAAGTCCAAAATAAGCAGCAGTGTCTGAAAGTTACTTTCTATATATGGTTTGCATGGACACCACAGGGTTTACTCAAAAGCCGTTCACAGAATTCAAACTTAAGACTCAAAGTTTTCTGTGTAGACATGGCCAATTTGTCTAACGCTGAATGTTTACACCATAACTACGAAGTAAGATTACCTTCTTCAATTGAGTCTCCATCTTCAAACATTCTTCCTTTTTCTGTTCCAATGCGATTTCCAGCGTCTTGAGTCTTGAATCTTTCTTCAGTCCTGATGAAGCTAAGGAGGAAGCATGTTCCTTCAGATCCAGTAAGGATGACTAAAATAAAAGATGTAAAATAAATATCAAGTAAATACTCTTTATGTGCAATAGCTAGTTTATTCTTTTGTCTTTATTTTCTTCCTATCCCTTCACATTATGTTCACGATCCGACTTAGAACAACACATTCTGACAGGATGACTTAAGACAGCTTGATTTAATTCAGGTTTCCAGGTTCAAAGTCAAACCTTGTCTAATATACTTCTTAAAACTATTTTTTTAAAAATGGAAGATTCTGTAAACTGAAACCAGTGTAAGAAAAGTTAGTTTTAAATAAAATCATATTTAAAAATCATATATAGTTAGCAAATTTAGCCACAGTATCTGAAGCTGAGAGTGTTCAAAGCTCTTCTGTATACAGCTGCTACGGGGCAAAACTGATTCATGCTACCTATCTCCAAGACACATCCCAAATTCTTGTTTTCTGAACCACTTTTGGGTTGGGTTTTTTTCCTGTCAAATGTCGACTTCCGTGTAGACAAAACCTTAGTACTTCCTGGGTGCATATTTTTTACTTTGAATTTTGAAAAAAAGATTGCAGGTAGACTTGAATGTTACAATTCCAAGAGAGGAACAGAGAACATTTATATTCTCTAATATAATTAGGTTAATCTGTCTAGCCAATTGGCTCATTATCAACCACCAACTTAATTATCAAAAAAGGACTCTACAGAGTCTAAAGAACTGGCTGTATTGATTGTACAAAGGAATAAACACTATCTTCATGCTTTTGGCACCCACAGCACTGATTAACTGCTGTCCTTTCCTCCCTATATTTAGGCAGGAACAAGCTTGTTCTCTGCCTTCAGTTGTCTCTCAGCACAGCCCCAGTAAAAGCCATCACTGGCCATTGGGCATTCACTACCAATACGATTAAGCACTGCAACTAAGGGACTGTGCTGTCCATGAAAAGATGGTTCTGAAATATCTATGCTTTGAAAAACTCCCAAACAATATATTTTACTAGATAAACTTATTGAAGGACCATTACTATAAAAGGTCAGTTTTCTTCATCTAAAATATAACACATAAAACAATCAATTCTAGCACAACAGATTCATTCTGCTGGTCAACCTCTTTCTCTGTGAGATCTCCTTGCAAAATGCTGACTTTCTCTTTCAGGTCCTTAAGGTCTTTTTTGTAGTTGTCGATCTCTTCCTGTTTTTCTCGCTCATCTCTGTCACGCTGCTCCTTTAGACGCTCAATGGTCCTTTCCTGACAAAAGAAAGCACTCTGAAGAAAATCCCTCTTAGTTCAAGTTCTGAGACTTCTTATCACAAAACATCTTACACACTGTAGACAAGGGTGTAGGATATTGACATTTTCTTTTCTTTGAGGTTGTAAAATAGATCCTCTAGAAGGAGGAAACTTGAGAAATCAATGGATTCATTGCTAAGATATTCTAGGTTTTCTGTATCTCTGAAAATTCATGGTCCTATTACAATGCAACAGAATTTACTTCGTTCTGATAACCAAAATTAATCAAGACCAGGACACATTACATATTGCTTCTTACTTATTCAAATCTTATTTTTTCAAAATGTGCAATCAAATCCCCTTCAGAGAGGAAGGGGTGTGGTGTACATGTGACACCAGGATTGATGTGCAGCAAGAAGAGGCAACAAAACAACTTTCTGTACACCAGATATCAGTGGAGCTTTGATTATCTTCAAAGCAGAAGGGATGCAAGTGAATTCCCCAGCCTCAGGCACAGCTTTACCATAACTTCATATTTATAGAATCTGACAGACTAAAGGAGCTGTAACCCTGGTTCTCCAGGAATCAAGAAAAAGAATTACAGTAATTCCAAAAAGTTGCTCCAGCAAAACAGATTAGGCTGTTCTCTCTGTCTGCTATCTTTGAGAATTGGGCAAGCATAAAAAAAAAATACAGTGAGAACAATAAAGCTGCAAATAGAGACTGAAACACAGCTACATCAGGATAACTACTCATTTTAGTTCAATATTGGAAGCTAAAACTCAATTTCAAGCAGCAAAACTTTAAAAATAAATTCCTAGTTAAAATATGTGAGCAGAGAAGATAAAATTAAACGTGACCCAGACTTTATAACAAAAAAAAAGGAAAGAAGCAGAGGTATCCAGAGCTGAGATGTAAGGCATGCTAGAAGCGAACCAAAGACGCACCATGTAAAGAGGCGACAACGTTAGAATGCCACTGTGATTGTAAGCAGCTAATGACTAGAGCAACAGCCTGTGGCTCAGCTCCCCTCATGGCACAAGCAGCCATGCCCTGGGCTGGTCCCCTGGGCCAGCAGCCTCCTGTGCCCTCCTGTGAGGGACGCACCTCGGCACCCACAGCCTGCTCTGCATCCCTCCTCGGCTGGCAGGGGCAAAGGATGTCACTGTGGCATTGCATCAGAGACGGCTGGCACACAGAGCCAGGGAAACACAGGGAAAAGCTGAGTTTAGAGAGGTTATTGCTAGAAGGAGCTTTCGAAGGAAGGGACTTGGGCTGTCCATACTCACTTTTTCTGCCAGTGCTTCTTCCAGCGTGGTCAAGGCAGTGTCAGTATTTGTGGTGTCAGCCTGCAAGGATTTCACTCGATCCTTTAAGCTGCTCATTTGCTTCTCCTTGTCTCTTAACTGTTCTTGAAGGTTTTCAATCTTAAAGAAGAGGAGTAGATTTTAAGAAAATAGCAAGCAAGACCATTCTTAAAAGCAAAGAATGTAGGCAAGGGCCTAGTTCTTATAATTCTACATGAATGAAAACATCAAGCAATGCAACCAAAATTATGAAATATTAACATAAAATCAGCAACCTTTCCAGTAATCAGGAAAGAATTCAGAGCAAGGAAGTCTCAATAATATTTACAAAATCAACATAAACTAAGAAAGGGTATTATTCCTACTTTCCTAGGGTGTTGGGCACTGTGTGACTGAATGATGATCAGTGTATTAACAGTATGAAAGGAAAAAAGCTGAGAAAAACATTACTGGATATATAAACCAAAAAGGCACTTGATAATTAAGAAGTTGTCAAGAAGTATTATTTTAAGTATTTCTTTCGATAGTGTCACATTCTTTACTGTACTGGCTTTTCCATCTTATGTGATGGTTTGCTATATGATGGTCTAGCACAAAACATCATTCCCTGGGTACAAAATGTATCAGCCTTGTTTTCTGCAGGCATAGAATTCAATCAATTTAGGAGTTCTGAATATATCTTTTGACAGACTGAGAAGACTCAGTCTTCTAAACCCATTTTATGCATACAGAATCACAGGAAACAGACACATTAACATTATGATAACCTGTCAAAAGCAAATTTATCAGCAAAGGATTAAACTGGGTACAGATTTCTCAGCTGCTCGCTTTTGCTGTTGCTGACGAGTTCTTGCATCAGCAAGAGCACAGCATGAACTGGAGAATGACAGGTGGCATGTAAGGTACCCATCTCCAAAACACTTGTAGCAAGACATTCTTTTAAAGACCATAATAAGAAACAATGTAACAAGACAACCCCACAGTTGTCTATCCAGTCCAGCATTTAGTTAACCTTTCGGAAGCATTACTACTGTCAAACAGCAGTTAGCAGCTCATTGGTTAGCGGAAATACAGCAACTCACCCCAGGTTTTGCTCTTCAGCCCTGGAAGAACTGAGCTGCTGTGCTTACAGAGCAAATGGCTATTTGGACACATCCACTACTACTTTGGTATCTCTACTAAAATTACATCTGGACCATAGTTTTAGAAAACGGTCCAAATCAGTAATGATAAATGCAAAAGATTTTGCAGGAGGTTGAACATCTACTGACAAAAAAAATTCATTGATGTGTTACAAGTGGGAGCTAAGAGGAAGAAGGATCTAATTCAGGGAAACGCTTGCTCATGTTCCGCTGCAGCCCTTGGCCACTGAAGGAGTCGCCTGGTATCAGATTCTCCATACCAGTTCTATTTCTCTCACACATGCACATGTAAACTTATGATCCAGCTTTGTACACAACCTATATATTACTGATAGCAGAAATGTATCAGTTTTTGATGCTTTTTTTTAAAAAGAATGGACTGAAATTGGTTTTCAATTCTCTTCATCAGTAATTTCTTTTAGGAACCAAAGTACTAGGCCTCCAAGGTATGCTTAAAATTTAAATCTGAGCACAACTCAAATTACACAACAAAACTTATTTTAAAGAGCACCAAAAAAGCATAACCAGTGACACGTGAGTCAGAAAAACCAAAAATTCCTTCTTTATAGACTCATATCTATGATTTAATGCCTTCTTAGCATGCGTTTGCAGCCCACAGAGCTTCAGAAGGAACCCCACTAAGTTCTGAGTGAGAAGTTCTCCTGGTGCCCACCCACACGGCTGCCGAGGGGGTACCATCCCCAAGAGTAGCCTACGTGGTTGCTTCTGACCTTACGAGCTTTCAGTGTCGTCAGCTGTCTAGACAGGCTGGGTCTTCAGACAGATACTACAAAGAAGGCTGAGCTATTCTTAGACGCGTGTTTACTTCTGGAGGCGAAACACTCTCGCAAAGGCTCCAACTGGCTGAAGAGGGGATAGTGCAGGGTGACTCTGCCCTGAGCAAACCACACACAAGAGACAGCTACATAATTCAGCTTCAGCACACATTAAGATGCTTGCCATGGCGGGACAAGCATTTGCACAAGCACAGCATGCATTTTCATGTTTCAGTAACTCCGTTGACGGTGACCGGAGTAAGATGACAGTTGTACAACAGTACTGTATGTGACTGCTGTGTCTCCTCCTTGCAGCTATACCCGCCTGCATTCCAAAGTGAAAATAATAAAAAAAGGGTAAGGTGTAGGAAGTGTGAACCTGTCTGTGCTTTCAGTCTACATGCACAGTTTTCAGGATGGAGTAATGAATGATGCTTTTCATTATCACCCAGAGAAGAGCAGGTACGCTGAAATGTTCTAAGTCACATCACACTAATAGCTAGGTACTACCTAAAAACCCCACCTTACCTACACCTCTGCCTTTAGCAGGGTCAGATAACTGATTGTTCCCAACAAAGACACATCCTTAAAACTACGGAAAACTAGAACGGGATCAACTGATGTATCTGCATTGAAACACCTGTATAATCCTAGATGCAAAATTCTCTTTATAAAAGCACAATCAACAATAAAATAATTGCTTTTATTCCATTTTTCTCCCAAACTATAAGAAGTAATAGCTAAACTATAGGTTCTCCAAAACGATATAATCTGAAGAAAAAAGCGAAGAATAGCCTACATTTTGCCCATATAGCTAATTAATGAATAATTTTGCTATTATGGCCCTGCAAGTACTTTGAGAAACCTTTTCAAAAAGAATACATAATTCAATTCATGTTTGTTTTACCATCCTTTTCACCTACCCAACCACTCCAAAACAGTAACTCTGAACAAATTCTTAAATGTTGGATAGAAATAAAACAGATAATCAAAATACAGTCTTCCGTTTGTACCCAACAAAAGACGAAATAAACCGCAATGGAATCTCCAGGACCTCTGGAAAACATAAAGGGACAAGCATTGAACCAGCACTGAAATATTTTTTCCCAACATTACTAGCTGTCAGACACTAGCATGTTTCAACCTGAGTGATTTACGCCTACTTGTCTGGAACCGATCATTTTGCCTTCCAGCCCCGAAGCACAGGAGCAAAGGCAAGAGAAGTTTCCTCTGGCATTCTGTTCCAAAGGCGAGGAAGCATTCTAATTTTTTTGCAAATACCGATCTCATTGAAAACCCCATGCAAATGCAAAGAAGAAAGAGCCCAAGGAATGAAATGAGATGCACCTACTTTAATACCCATCAAGGACATTACATTCCCAAATTCATCTAGGTAGATGGTGCTAGTAGGTCTTTGTATCATGCTTCAACCAACAAATCCTTTTGTAGAACCATCATCAGACCTAGGATATGTGTAAATTGAACACTTGCAAAACAATTTCTATCGTACACGTGTCTTTCAAATCAGAATTAGGTCCAGTTCTTCCATGGTTTCGTAAAGGCACCAATTGGTCAAGTCAGCTCCAGGGTCAATGGCTGCATTATGGATTCTCATCAATCACAGGCAGGGGTGATTCTGTCCACACAGGAATATTAACTTGAGGACAAAAAAAGCTATTGTGGAAGAAAGAGCAGGTGACTAAGCAAGTATGTGATGACAGAACAGCTACAATCCACTCCAGTTGGAGACATGCCACACCCTTCAAAGTAAGAATACTAATATGATAAAAATTTCATAGCCTGCAGTCATACTTGATTTTGCTAGAATCCCACAGTATTTGAGAAGCTTAGAAAAGTGGGCTTGCATCCAAATCAGGATGAGAACCTAACAGACATGATCACATTGTTGTATCTGACATCATAAAAAAATTGTTGCTTCAGAAGAAAGGGTAAGACATTTACTCCAGAAAACTGAGATAGGTCTAAATTCAAGAAATTGTGTTCCTAAATGTATTAATGAGAGGTCACTATAAAGCTATACTACTGGATTTGTAAATATTACTGCGTTTCTGAAAGACATATTTTGGAGACCACAACGAAAGCCTATAAGCAGACATTACTGGTCAGTTTTACAATATTAAGCTCTCGTTTTATAAATGTCACACTGAAAACCCCTTTGTTATAATTGTTTTCCTATAGCACTAACATATTCAGTGGGAGGAGGGAGGGGACAGGATAGGGCAGGGGGAAAGTATACATCACCACTGTGTGGATAGCAAAATTTCCTCTTCTGTATGTGCGTTGGCTCTATTTGAAACTCCAATATAAGGTGTTGTTTTTAAAGTCCCCAGTGAAATAAGGTCTGCCACATGAGTGAATATCATTCATATTGCTGTATTGAATCAATCAGACTGGAAGTGAAATTCTTGCTATTAATTTTAAACATTAAATTCCCAAGACCAGCAAGAACAAGCTGAAGCTGAATGAATGCTGAAGCTTTAGGCATAGTATGTCTAGTTGCGAGGGTGAGATTTTTAAAGTTTTTCTGAAGTTCAGGATAGATCAAAACAATTTCCCTTTTTTCAGTAACATTTTGGCAAACACGAGTCAGAGTTCCTTCCAAAGTTCAGCTACATTCAGTCTGCTCTTTTTACTTTATGATCCAACCAATTGACATAAATACAGTTAAACTGTTGTTGTTATATTCAAATTCTTGTTCTCGAATCATCACACTTAAAAAAAAATCATCTTCAAGTAGTTTGCATATCAGTGAATTTAATAAAATTTGTTAAGCATAAAATAAATTAAAGACACTATGAAATGCAAGATAGTGGTGTGCTCTCTCTCTCTCTCTTCATAAAGAACTTTAAATTCTGGAGTCCCAGTTAACACTCCAGCGTAGCGATGGTGAACTCTTCAGTTAAGTGGTAAACATTTGTTCAGTTTACATAACGAGAAGCTGTGGATGCCCCATTGCTGCCTGTCTTCAAGGCCAGGCTGGACAAGGCTTTGAGCAACCTGGTCTAGTGGAAGGTGTCCCTGCCCATGGCAGGGGGGTTGGAACTGGATGGTCTTTGAGGTCCCTTCCAACCCAAACCATTCTGTGATTCTGTGATTCTATTAGTTTTGCTACCCAGTGAAGACAGGATTAACTTTGAATTTTGCCTGCCAAGAAAGTTTTCTTCTTTTTACTGCTACTCTA